TTTGTGGGACATTTTGAATTCTTGTCGTTTCAGGACGAATTGGAAGCAGAACTTGAAGAGCTTGAGGGTGCTGAGTTGGAAGAACAGCTTCTGCAGCCGGCAACTACAGCTCCAGCAGCCCCAGTGCAGGTCCCAGCTGGGCGGCAGCCTGCTCGGCCCGCACCTCCACAGAAGCAAACTGCTGAGGAAGATGAACTGGCTGCTTTGCAGGCTGAGATGGCACTTTAAGCGGGTCCCCTCTGGTTTATTTTACCGGGGTTAGATTAGCGTTGCAACTAATATGGAAATTTGGAAGACCTGCGTCCAAGCCATCTTACTTTCATGTTTTATATCACTTGGGGAAATCGCTTGTACATCATAGTATGAATAAGATTGCTTATTCTGAAAAATGTTGGGATCTTATTGCACGCAGTCGATCTTATTGATGGTGCTAGAATTTTGCATCCATTATTGTGCATTATTATGTGCAGGCGATTGGGGAGTACTTATTGTGAACTTACTTAAAAAGAAATAGAGGATGTTTTCTAACTTGGCAAAAAATTGAACAGGGAAATCTTGTTTTGAAGCTTGCAATCTACTTTTCGCCTGAACCGGGTTGTCAACTTGTTATTTGCCAACAGGTTTTCAACCTATTGAATGTTGCTTTCTTTGAAATGAAAATGTTGTATGTTTGTTCAATGAGCTGTCCTATATAAATGTATGTAACTAAACCCTGGGGGATTTAGGGTCATCTTTTAGTACTCTTTTTTTTTTTTTAAACAATTTACCCGGTATCCAATTTTAAATTGGACGATTGTGGTGTGGCGTCTTGAAAAGCAGTATCATGGTGAACGTTACATCCAAGAAGATTTGACTCAAGAAAAAAAAAAATTTTAAAAAAACTTCCAACAATTTACAATACAAGTGAAATGCAAAAGCATGGAAAGAAAAATTTTGGAAAATAATATTAAAAAATGGCCAATAGATCCATTGAGGCCATAGTTATTTTATTATTTGTAATTTTGTATTATTAAAACAAACAAGAGCTGCAGATTAACGTAAGAGAAAATTAAATTTATCTTGTAAACAAAGGAGGGAAAACTCCTTTGAGCATTGGAATTTTGACCAGTTATTAATAACTTCATTTGGACTACTAAGTTTGGGTCATCTGTTTTACTTTTCAAAAAGATGGGGCATTCCACCTGTCAAGGGAAAGTGGTAAATATGAAGAAGATATCTATAACAGAAGTTGCTCTCCTCCCAACTCTTTTGGTTGGAACTTTCAATTTCATTCCAAACAAAAAAAAAAAATTTGATAATGCAAGGATACAATATTAGGGAATTTATTCTAAGGACAAAAAATTTAAGGTATATACAAAATAAATAAAGATTAAAATCCTATAATATATTACAAACTCTTAAATAACTTTTTTTTATAGATAAAATACGAACTCTTAAATAATTTACTTGTACTGCCCTTGATTTGTTTAGAAAACAAGCTTGCACTTTCACATTAATTTAGCATTTACCTTGAACTAGATTTGTAGTTGAGATGATTGCATTTTTTTTTTAAAAAAAAAGAACACAATACGTAGATCAAATTTTTCGTATCTATTATATGTCAAGTTCTTTTATCATACACGACTGTGTGTGCTATTTTTTAAATATTATTATTTAATTATAAATCAACTTGAATAAAATAGCCTACATGACTATATGTGATTAAGAAAACACACACGACCATTTGTGATTAGAAAACTTAATATAATAAACATAAAAAACTTGACCTAAGTATTTTCCTTTAAAAAATTTTGAAGTTTTTCTCTTAATATATATGATATAACACTGTAACTACCACTAAAAACCAAGCATTCCTTTCAACTTTGTTATGTTTGAAACAATGCAACAACGCTTGCTCCAAATATCACTAACTGCTTTTAGTTATCATGGCAATAGGACTCATAGTGTTTATGACTGTGTTGAGGCTTATACTATTTAAATACAGTTTTAATGATCTAAATTTAAAATTTTTAACTAATAATTCTCAGGTAAAAATTATTTTTTTTAACAAACTTACGAATAAGTGATTGTCTTTTAAATTCTATACACTCTAAAATATTTTTAAAAAAATTAAAATTAGAAAATTAATTTTAACCATTCAAATTAGTCTAAGCAGTCCAAAGTGGGGATGAGCTCCTCATGAGCATTTAAATTCATTCCACCTAGGTACAATAATCCTCTTCCTCGTAATCTTGGTCTTAAAATAGTTGATGATAATGACAATGGCTATTTATAGAAGATATGTTCTCTCTCTGTCTCTCTCCCTCTCTCGTGTGCATATATACATATAATTTATAGAAAATCAATTTTTTATAGCTTATAAACAGCATGTTTACATTAAAATTTATGACATGCACAGAATCTATAGCTAGATAAATTTAAGCTAGGCCGGCAAAAAAAGATAAATTTAAGTTAGTTTTGGATGAATAGTAATATACATGAATCTAGTCTATCATATGGCATTTAAATAATAGACCCAATTATTTAAGACTTTTTTTTTTAACACGCATAAGGAGAGGTTGAGTCTTAAATTTTGTCAATATTCCACCCTATTTGTTCACATCATCTAGTGTGGAAATGGCTTTAGTTCCAACTTTCTTTTTTTAAATTCAAAGCCTTTTCAAGTCATTTTAAATTTGAGATTAATTTTTGTCAAACCAGGAGCATTAAAAACTTTTAAGGAGGAGAACACAAGTTCAAATCATGAGAAGAGCACTTGTTAAGAGAGTTTTAATATTAACACTCTCAACTTGTTAGAACTTAGGTTGCGTTTGGTAGGAAGCATTGGAAATAAAGGATTGAGATTGGAATTACAATTGAGAAAATCTATTAAGAAAGTATTTAGTATAAGAGATTGTTTGATTATGGGATTAGCCAAAACCATGTCTGTGGGATTGGAGAATACCATGAGAGGAAGTGGTATTCCCCAATTCCACCTTTATGAGTTTGCCTAATCCCATATAACAAACAATTACTCATGCTAAGTACTATTTTAATGATTTTTTTCAATTGTAATTCCAATCCCAATCCCTCATTTTCAATGTTTCATATTAAACGGGACCTTAGGGTCAAATCCAAAATGACTTGATGATACATTGAAGAATAAACAAACAAAAAATCAACGATTTGTATTGAGCTGAGGGATGCATGACACGTGTAGGGATGTGATTGTCCCCACTCAGGACTGCATCCAATGAACCACTGATTAATTGTTCCAATGGCGGCCCCCATATACATCATTCCAACGTTCACTTCTCCTTTTTTGACCCAAAAAAAAAAAAACAGAAACATGCAACAAATACTTTTCAATTCTTAATATATGCTTAAGCCGATACTTTTGAAGGATTCAAATAATTTAATATGAGCAATTTGTAAAGATGAACTAGTTTAGTTAATTTTCGAAGTGCGTGGTTTTTTTTTTTCAAATTAAGTGGCTATACAATGTGTATCGTATATAGAATTTCAGAGTTTGTTAATACTGTGGCTTCTTTTAGATTATGGATTTAATATTAATTTAATATACATACACGAGACATAACACATCCATATATGAACAAAAATAGATATTTATTCTGTGCAGGGGACAAATAATGGCTTAATGAAATATTTATGACTGAAAATTATATTAAGTTGAAGGTAAAAATTTCAAATTTTAATTTTAAATAGTACTAACAATTAGAGAGACGAAATATAAATAATAATAATGATTGAAAAGAGAGATATAAAAACTTGGTACAACTTGCATATAGTTCACACTAATTACTTTTTTATATAATATCTACCCAAAGATGTTAACACCATATTCGAATTCAAGATTTAATCCAAGCATGACGAATAACATTGTCACTGAGACAACTGGCCGTTGACATAGTTCATGCTAATTATGATATACAAAGAAATTTCATAAATCATATGATTTCTTAATTAGTATGAACGATGAAACAAAAAGAAATCATACGATTTATAAATTATAAGAAACATTTTCTTGTAAAATTTAATATACATATATTGATGATGAGGTCCACCTACCATACAATATGAAGGAGGGCCAACAAGGATATAAAATAAAAGATTAAAGGTCAAAATAGAAACAATAAGAACAGTAAGTTTGATTAAAATGATTATTATAAAATTCACGTTTTAAATAATGGAAAACCCTGTGCCCAGATGCCTTGCCTGGAGCAGCAATTCCTTACAATGGTCAGTGAGGCTGGATAGATCCCACCAATATTCCACCATACCGACTTGCTTCTAATAAATTAATAATCCCAATATTCACTCCCATGCCTTCATCTAATCAATAACATCAATATATGTAAAATTAATAATAAAGTACGCTATTTAAAAATTATAAAACCAACAATGCTATGTGAGAGCAAGTATTGAGTTTTAAGTGGAGAAGAATATCAGATTGAAGTAACAGGGATGAAAATGTTGAGGTAGGCGAGTAGTCACCATCTATAAAAAATAATTGACATGGTGTCTATACAAAAACAAAACAAATAGTTAGAGGTGTCAATGAAGAGGATATATCAAGCACGGCAGAATCCTCTAAAAAAAAAGTGGTAGAACTTGATAATTTATCTAAATATTTGATTCATTTTCAGTACTTGAAATTTGATTTTAATCCATGAAATTTGAAATCAATAATTTTGGTTCTTGAAACTGTATTATTATAGAAACCAAAAATCTCTAGACATGCCAAAATACGGTCAATTAGTCAAGTTTCAGGTACCAAAATAATTAGTTTCAAATTTTCTGAATCAAAACCGAAAAAATCATGTCAAACTTGGATTTAAAATGATGTTGACCCTATAAGGAAAGTACAATGAATGAGAATTGCATTTTGGTTGATGTTGGATGTAATTTCAAATTTCCAACTCTAAATTAAGTAATTAAGTAACAGTTTTCATGCTAAGCGCTAATAATTCTGTCACGCCGGGCCAGGATTCTCTACTTTTTGAGTTTTTGACTTTTCGCTAACGCTGGCTGGATTTGACAATGTAGCTATAACTTTCTTGATTCACCAGCGTAATCCTTCAATTCGTTTGATTGAAGATGTTAATTTCAAAGAGACTCTTCGTCTTCCTCATGCTCTATCTTGCTCTTACAATTTTAGCTCACGGACAGCAACAAAGAGGTTAGCATTTGCTTGTAAGCAATAAGCAGTGTAAAAATGGAATACTGCAATTCAGATTGTTTTTCCCCTTGTTTTCAACTTAAAATTATAAACTTATCATCTGAAATATTCAATTTAAGCTATGCTTTGATTTCCCTTAAAACTGTAATCAGTCTCTGTTCTTCCTTGCAATTCCATTTTTTACTGTCGAAGCTTCGCGTGTTTGAGCTTCCCCTGAAAATTGCCAATCCCATGGTTTCATGGGTTTTTTCTCAAGTCTCAGAATCAATTGAAAGCTAATGGATTTTACAAATTTTAGCATAATCTGTGGCCGTAAGTGTAAAGTGTAAACTGTTAATATCTTGGCTTTTTCACGAGTCTGATGGGTCTTTCTGGTCAGGTTTTGTAAGCATTGATTGTGGCGGTCCAGAGAATTTTGAATATACGGATGATACCACTAAGATAAAGTATGGCACAGATGGAGCTTATATTAACAAAGGGGTCAACAGAAATGTTTCCTCTGAATATAACTACCCAAAAGTTCCAAATCTGCCACAACCGCTTTCAGATCTCAGAAGTTTTCCTGAGGGTGAGAGGAATTGTTACAAAATAAAATCTCCAATAAGAAACAGTTTGCATTTGATAAGGGCTTCTTTCTTGTATGGAAACTATGATGGAGAGAACAAACTTCCAGAATTTGATCTCTATGTGGATGTGAATTTCTGGTCCTCAGTAACATTCAGAAATGCTTCAGAGCAACTCGTAATGGAAATCATCAGCTTGAAAGTATCAGAGGATATCAATGTTTGTCTTGTGAACAAAGGATTGGGAATTCCTTTCATCTCAGCTTTGGAACTAAGACCAATTATTCAGGGCTCTATTTATACTACTGAGTTTGGTTCATCTGCTTCACTTTTACTCTTCAAAAGATGGGACATTGCATCTCTCAATGAAAGTGGAAGATATGAAGACGATAATTATGATAGGATTTGGTCTCCTTACGGTTCATCTTCCTGGGAGACTTTGGAAACTTCTTCAGCCATCAATGGTAATAACAGTGGCTATAATGCGCCATTTGAAGTCATTAGGACTGCTGCTAGACCTAAGAATGAGAGTGCTCCTTTGGAATTCTCCTGGAAACCGAATGATCCAAACTCTAAATTTTATGTTTACTTGTACTTTGCTGAAGTTGAGAAGCTTCAGAAAAAGCAACTGAGGAAATTCAATATATCCTGGAATGGAACTCCATTATTTGGACCCTTTGTCCCTAGTTACTTACAGGCAACCACTGTGTCAAATTCGAAATCCTTAGTGGGAAATAAACATCAAATTTCAATTTCTAGAACAGGAGACTCAGCCTTACCACCCATCCTCAATGCAGTTGAGATTTATGTGGTAAGACAGCTAGATGCAATACCAACTTTTGAGCAAGAAGGTATGCTTTGTTTGTTTACGTTTAGAAAGAGTATGTTTTGGTGCATAATTACCAAATAATGGTCCTATTTTAATTGAATTCATTATAAACGCAGTTGATGCTATCATGAATGTCAAAGCAACATATGTTATTCAAAGAAATTGGGTAGGTGATCCTTGTGAGCCAAAGGACTACAGTTGGGATGGCTTGGAATGTAACTACAGTAACTCGCTTCCTCCCCGAATCATATCACTGTGAGTTCCTTCTATTTACTCTTCTTCATGCTTTAATTCCCCAGCATGAGAGTTGTGATTGTATATGAAGTTTTATAAGAGATCACTTTGTTTTATAGGAATTTGAGCTCAAGCAGTTTGAGTGGGGTAATAGCTTCTGCAATTTCCAATCTCTTGTCACTGGAATCACTGTGAGTACATACCCAGATAAAATCTGATTATATTATAGTCACGTCTAGATTATGAGAATTTTTTCAATCCCCAGAACTCGTTTTATTGATTATAAAAATCAATGGAGGCACATTATTTTGTGTCAGGGATTTATCAAACAATAGCTTGACTGGATCAATACCTCAGTTTCTGGAAGACTTCAAATCTCTTAAAGTTCTGTAAGTCTAATACAAATTGAAATGGGGCAGTGTAATCCTGATATTGCATGGTGATAAATGTTAAAAGAACAATTGCATTTTCTGTGTAGGAACTTGAAAGGCAATCATCTGTCAGGTTCGGTCCCCGGTCATCTTCTGGAAAGATCAAGAGCTGGGTTACTTACACTGAGGTATCCCTTGCTTGAACAGATTTAGGTAATCTTATTTCATGTTTGCTTGGTTTTATTTCTCATGAAACTAACAGAAATTAGCATCTTCAGTTTGGATGACCAAAATATTTGTGGTTCAAGTACGTGCAAAAAGAAGAAGAATATTGCTGTTCCCATAGCCGTTTCTATATCATCAGTTCTCGTTCTGTTGATTGCATTTGCTCTTATCTGGAAATTAAGAAGGAAAAAGCCATCAGGTAATTTTAAATATTATGCAGTGAAAGGTCTGTGTTTCTTTATTCTCATACCTTATTAGTACATGAACCACACTCCACTCAGATAAGGAGATAGAAAAGGCCAACAAAGGTGGAAGAACTGTAGCATCAAAAAAGTGGCAATATAGCTATGAGGAGGTTTTGGAAATCACCAACAACTTTGAAATGGCAATTGGAAAAGGGGGATTTGGAATAGTGTACCGTGGTGAGTTGAAAGATAGGAACCAAGTTGCAGTGAAAATGCTTTCTCCATCATCATCTCAGGGGCCAAAGGAATTTCAAACTGAGGTAATGTTACATTTCTGTCATTTAAATTACATTCTATTCAACATCAAAACAATCAACAACAACAAAAAAATGGCAGTAAAATTAAATAATGGTTTGCAGGCTGAGCTGTTGATGACAGTTCATCATAGAAATTTGGTATCCTTCATTGGTTACTGTGATGATGATAACAAGATGGCACTCATTTATGAGTACATGGCTAATGGCAACCTGAAAAATTATCTCTCAGGTACATCCTTACCCTGCTCTTTCACAGAGTTCCTTAGTCCAAAATCTAATCTTTTAAGCAAAGAAAGCGTCTTCATTGGTAATCTAATAGTTGACGCAGATAAAAACTCAAATACTTTGACTTGGCAAAAAAGACTTGAGATAGCAATTGATGCGGCACAAGGTGAGTAGTATTGTATTGGTTTTGTGCCTTTAAATGTCATTTTGTAGACATACTTGAAGTACCGCTGATCTGCAGGATTGGAATATCTACACCATGGATGCAAGCCACCTATAATACACAGAGATGTGAAGACAGCCAACATTCTATTAAATGAAAACTTGGAAGCTAAGATAGCTGATTTTGGCCTCTCCAAGGTGTTTAAGAATGATAACACTAACGCTAATGCAGAGTCTGAAGTCATGGGCACCACAGGCTACCTTGATCCAGAGTAAGTACTCACTATCTTGACGCAAAGTCTAACTAATGAGCCGTATTATTCACAAATTATGAGTAGGGCAACTTATTATAGTTTTTTGTCGATATTAACGCGTTTAGGAATATGTAATCATTTGTTCAGGTACTACAAGTTACGAAACTTGAATGAGAAAAGTGATATTTATAGTTTTGGAATAGTTATTCTAGAGCTAGTAACAGGTCAACCAGCAGTGATAAAAGGTGAAGAACTGGTTCACATAACTGCATGGGTAACATACGAACTTAAAAGAGGGGATTTTAGCAGAATTGTGGATCCAAGACTTGAAGGCCAATTCAATGCAGGCTCTGTGCAAAAGGCTTTTGAAATAGCAATGGCATGTAGTTCATCACCCTCCATTCACAGACCCACCTTGAATTTTGTGGTACAAGAGCTGAAAAAGTGTTTGGAAATGGAGTTGCCTTCTCAAAGTGACAGATTCGAGGTGGTACCAAGACAGATTTCTTGCGAGATATATAGTTCGTCTGAGCCTTATTCCTATGATACTGATTCTATCACTTCTCCTTTTGCTAGATAATTGTACAGTTGAAGATTTTTCTTTATAGTATAATTCTAAAAATGCATGCATAATATATTAGCCATTTACCCGGGTATATGGTTATCTTTCTTCTAATAATTTCAAGAATCTCGTAGAGAAGAGTTAAGTCAAACAGAAAATTAATCTATTTATTAATACAATATATAACAAATCACACTTTAATAAGCAATGAACAGTGTAGTTTACCTTAAACTTCTTGCAACAGATGATACTATTATCAAAAAGGAGCTGGTGTCTTCTTTAAAACTTGATAAAATCAAAATGTTATTCGCATGCTATATCATAAAAATCTAGATATATAACATTCACTATATTGTTATCACTACAGCATATTCAAACAAAATATATTGTCATGAAGTTAAATCTTACACTTAAATATAAGTGTGAGATTTTTTTTCTACTAAAAAAAATCTAAAATCTCACACTTAAGTAAAACAACTTAACCATCAAAATTGATTTAATGGATTTATTATAAGATATGTATTCAATGGTTTTACATCTCTCGTGCAGTACTAATACAAAGACATTAAGGATTAACATTACTTAAATACAAGATTTTGTGAAAAAAATTTATTATTGTTGTCAATAAAAAATATTTTCCATTTCACCTAAAAAATTTGTTTCAACAATGACAACAAAATAATTAGACATGATCTTATGATTGCGTTAGATTGACCTGTTAGTTTCATAATGATGAGAAAAAGTAATAGTATTTGTGATAAATTAATGAACGATTGAACTCCATGAGAACTTTTAAAAACTAAGAAATGATTAGAATTACAAACAAAGCAACAATGTGTTTACTCAAAATAAATCTCTTCATTCCGGGTTTTTTCAGAATTCAACTATCAACTACTACTTCTGAAGCATTTTATACTACTGAGTAAGAAACACAATGTTTCTCTAATTTCCTTTTCTTCATGTAGCGGTAAAGCTACACAATTAGATGGTATGAGTTATAGTAGCAAATGTTTACCAACTTCCTAATACCATGATTGTCGTGTGCATATTACATACTAGGTAATACCCCCACACCATGATCTGACATTGTAATCACTACGTGACTGCTCTCACGATCGGCAGCAAATCAATTTTAAACTCTATTTTTTAATTCTTGCTAAATCCTGCCCCCAGTGCTTGCAATTTCAATGTTGAAAATGGTTCACCTGAGGGACTCAAACTCTCAACAATGTGCATTTTATAGTGCGCCTTGCATGTATTTAAAAATCACACTAGGGAATATAGAATTCACAACTATTAAAGAAGATTAACCTGGTTGTGAAATCATGAATGCACATACTCCTGTTTGGATATGTCCTTCTGATAACTTTATACACACATCATTAGTATTCTTTTTCTCTATCTGATAATGTTGACATATCTAGGCTAAGTCACATCACTACACATTTAAAAAAAAACAAACTGCAAGTTTTAACAGCAACTAAGAGAACCATACCGAACAAAATATATTCCCTCCATTTCATTAATTGATAAGTTAAATCATAAGCTATAATTGCCCATATACAAATTTATATCTTTGGACAAAGAGCCAAAGATAATAAAAAAAATGTATTGTTTCATGGTCACAGAACATTTACAACAGAAGTTCTGAAAAAACAATGGATAAGGACAAGACAATTCAAGCTGTCCATGACTGTTAAAATCCATGAAACAGGGATATTCTTGAAAACCTATCTGCCCCAACTTTTGGCATGTCATTCTCAATGGACCATTGAGTTACCTCAAGACTCAAGATCCAATGCTACTATAGCCCTTCTTGGATCACCAAGGAGCCACTTTACCATCAAATGTTAGAATATGAAGGTTAAGGGACTCCTAGTGCAGTGCCACAGAAATCTTTTTGAAGTCACAGGGTCATACTTCCACCAACACACACGAGAAAGAATTTTTGGCATATAAATTGATGTCTCCTTTGAAAGACAGCATTAAAACATGATTTAATAAATGACAACATTTTGGTAAAAAAAAAATAAATGACAACATTAAGCCTCTTATACAAATAAAGTAAAAACCACAAAACAGATCTTTTTTTAAGGCTTGAAACCATAAAATACATCTAACTGGTTATTAGAAAACCTTAGATTGACATCATACATGTGAGTTCTATCAAGAATCTCAATAAACAACCCAGCCCAATAGCTAAAATTGGCTTAGTTTGAATGTAGTTACTAAATTCCTATTCCTCATTGGGCTATATGCATACCAATATAGAGACAGAGATAGGAAACATTATAGACCAGAGATTATCTTCTTTTCATTATCACAAGTTACCTTTTCATTTGTAAGGATTTAACTCTCAAACATATTACGGGTTTTACAAATATGAGTACAAGCTAGAGAAATTAAAGAACAGGACATATGTATGAAGTCAAGTTTAAGGCACCCCTTTTTCTTGGACAAAATTCTTTGTAGGTATTTACTGTAGAGGCTTGGGGGAAAAAAAAAGATTGATGCATGCTAACTAGCTAACCACCAAATCCTTGATACAGCCGAAATTTGGGGATGTTGTGACACATATCTGTGGTGACCCCTCCAATTATAAATACTAGAGTAAGGAACTGGATAATAACATAATTAGATATCCAAGCAATAAGAATGCCTGTAGTTTCATCATAAAATATGGAGAAGAAATGACATAAAGCTGCAGCACCATGATACAATGAAGATTTATATCAAAACTTTATCATTGAAAAAAGGATAAATAGTTAGCAGACAATTCTTCCAAGTCAGATTTCACCATAACCGCACCATAATAGTAAATACATTGCATTTTTTTCCAGTTATATAAAAATACAATTGGGAAAAATACAAAGTCGTCAACTTTTCATTTATCTCTGAAAGGAATCAGCAAATAAAAAATGATGATTAAAAACACTGAGACGAATTTAATTATCCATGTAACTCAGTAATATGATAGGAGATTGAGGGGGGAAAAACAACATGCATATAGTCAAGAAAGAAATAGCATTTGACATCAAATTACATTCAAAAGTTTATCAGAATCAAAATATGAATAAAAACCAACCTGACCAAATTTAAGCTCTGAACAGAAGGAAAAAGAAGATTACAATCAATTGTGCATTTATTATAGTCAGGTCTGCAAAAAATTCTACAAATGTATGATATCCTGCAAAATTTAAAGCCACATCAGTGACATTATTCATATGGCGTAAATAGGTAACATTGGAGACATCACCATAAAAAAAAACAAAAGAAAAGAAGGTGCTTATGAATCATGCAAGGGCTCTGAAAGAAGTACATATAAGCACAGCTTGTGGCAATGAATGGACCCCAAGAAGTTCGACCAAAATTTGTTCCCCCATAATATTGCAAGAAACAAAACAAATGAACTTAGTCAGTTTAGGGAAAACAAAATATTTAACTTAATATTTCAATATAATATGAAGTTCATACAATAGTCCACCACTTACATAATTTCAAAATTCCAGACAACTATTACTTGAAACACCAACAACACAACAATATTACTTATTTTATCAAATATCAAATAATATAACTAAACCTCTTTACTTCAGCATCCAAATTGAATTTTTTTCCACAACTATAGTAAACAAATAATGATCACTATTACCCCATTTTGTCTGCAAAAATTCTACGACACAATATTCCCTTCCATGGCCTCTTCTTCATCGGCGTGCCATCACCATCACCAAGTCAACCAACACAAAACATTGAGATATACCAAAACAAAAGCCAAAATCAAGAGTATGAGTAAAGAATCAGACCCAACAAAAAATCTTGTATAAAAAAAATTAAAAGTGAAAACAGGAAAAAGGATGAGAAAAAAGAGGAAAGCAAAGCAAATCAAGAAAATGAAAAGGACGCAGTAGGGAAGAGGACAAGGCACTAAGAAATCCATCGGAGAGAACAGTAAAAACAGAGAAGAGCCAACCTATGAAATCGGCTTTTATGAACAGTAACTTGATTTTTATTTATTATTTAGGTTGATGGAGATCAAATAGATAGGTTAGTTGAATTTTCTGTGATGAAAAGTAGAAAAAAAAATTAGATTAAAAAATTAAAAGAATTTGAATTTTTAATTAAAGAAATTCTTTTCGTTCTTCTGTTGTGGTGAATATAATGCATAAGAAAATTCAAAAAAATACTCCATACTTGTTAAGTAATGCCAAGGATTCAAGAGAAATTCATAGATGCTCCCAGAATGCCCACTTAATCTGTACGTCGACCAATAAAACTATTACATGTCAAGCAATTTCATCCCATTTGTCAGTTGACACTTGACATGTCCCACCTCCTTCTTTTTGATATTTTAATTTCGTATATATCTTTTTCTAGTCTCTTATATTCTCTCTGATATTTAGTCATTTGCATCCCTCTTGTTCTTTCTCCTATTTTTATCAGCTATCCCGCTCTCTTCAATTAGGCACCTATGCTGCCCCCACAGTTCCGCCTCCCTTCTCTCATACTTCCCTCCTTCGTTCACCCTTGCATTGTGAAAATTTCAGGATCATTTTTTGTCATTTCCACAAATTTTATTTTCCTGTATATTTAATTTAAAAGGATTATAATTGTAAATTTTTATATATCAGAATTTTAATTTTAATTATATAATTTTTAAAAAAATTAAATTTGAAAATTAAAAATAAACCTCCTAATCAACAGTTAAAATCATTATAATTATAAATTTATTTCCTAAAAGTCCTTTTTTTTAATAACTCAAAATATCCTCATGCAACTTTAAGCTTGAAAGTAACCTATGTTGAACCAGGAATATTAGAGTTAAAGTCCTTCAACAAGTACTCTTAGCGAGATTTGAACTTGTGTTCTCTTCCTTACTTGTTAGTCAAATGCCTTAAAAAAGTTACATTATCTTAATTTTCAATAAACATATAAAAAAATTAATTATAAATAGAAACATAAAATGAGTTTTTTTTGCTTACCGGAGAAACATAAGATGAATTGAATTTTTATATTTGTATATAATGAAATTTTTTTAACTAACTCTCACTACCAGAAAAAAGGCTTTTAACGGCGGTTAAAAGTGGCTTTTAACGGCGGTTTTGAAGGCGTAGTTG